CCCCTTTGGTGCTTAGGTATTGGCATTTGCTCGGTTGGAGGCTGAGGGTGCATGAATAAGGCAAGAGAGGAAATTATGGTTAGGAATAGAGGAACGAGCACGCATTGGGTATTTTTGGTCGATTTGTGTCGGTTGGAAAGGTAACCCATGGATACACGCTTAGGGATCCCCCGAGCACTCTGCCATGCTTGGGTCGGTCAAGCATGGCGGAGGGCTTAGAAGGAGCATCTTAGAAAAAGGGGTTCAAGGCAATGAGTTCACAACTTTTTTGTATCAAAAATTGAAAAGGTACAAAACACAAATGAAAGACTTGAGGGTTTGAGCGACATAGCTTTCATTCTGCCTTTAGTATGCCTTGTTAACACCATGAATCAGGCTTTGTTGTCTGCTGGGAACGCCATGCTACTAAGGTTGCGACTGTGGGGGCTTCCCATAGCGGGAACGGTCGATACTCGCCTTCACCGGGCTTGTCCCTTGTGTGGATATGAGCGTTGGGGTGGAGGGGCCGACTGAGTTGGAGTCACCTATAGTAGCGCCTAGGGTCTCACCAGAGCTTGGTTCCATGAGCGATGCCTCCATCTTGATCTTCTTCCTGTCTAGAGCTTCCTCCTATGTTTTCCGGCCATTGTCCGTAGTAGTAGGTCTACTGGAAGTTGGCGCTGATGGCGATGACTCCCTTGTGGCACAACTTCTTCAACTTTAGGTAGGTGCAGTTGGGAACAACCATAAATTTCATGAAACATGGCCGCACGAGTAGGGCATGGTACGTACCCAAGAAGTCCACCACCTCAAAGGTCAATGGCTCCTTGCAGAAGTTGTCCAACTTGCGAAAGGTGACATAGAGCTAGATGTGCCTAAGGGCATGGCTTCCTAGCCCGGGATGACTCCAAAAAATGATGCCTTGCTCGGGCAGTGGCTTGCTTCTTGGAATCTTCATTTTGTTGAGGATCTCGGCATGGAGGGTGTTGAGTTTGCTTCCATCGTCCATCAGAACCTTGGTGAGGCACACCTTCCCCACTATCAGGCTAACCACGAGAGGGAAATGGCCTAGGTGAGGCATGTGGTTGGAGTGATAGCCACAATTGAAGGTTATTGCTATCTCGGACCAACATAGCTGTGTTGCCATAAGTATGGTCTTGACAGTGTTCACCTCTTACTTGGTGATCTAGTGTTGGCACCATGATTTGTAGGGGAGGTGTAGCAGGCTAGGAGTCCCCTCATGGTTATTGACCTCATGCTGGATGATGTGCTAGCACATGATCTTTGCTTTCATCCTTTTGATCTCGGCTCACTCGGCCTCCTTACCGAGCATTAAGGCACTCAGCCTTCTCCTGGAGATAGGTGGTGTGGCTAGTTGGACTTAGGTCTGGGGGCATGATGTCGAGTTCATCAACGGCCAATTATTCCCATGGTGGAAAAAACACTCCCTCTCTAGGGAATTGCTGACAACCTCATGGAGTGATACTTTGGCTTGACCCCAATAGTATCTCAAGGAAGGTGCATCGCGAGGGGACATTGGTCCCTATAGCGCCCTATCTAAGTTCAGTGTTTTTCATGTTAGGAATGCTTAAACAAGAGTTCTTACAATGGAGGAATTAGGAGAGAGAGGTGTAGGGGGTAGCGCTATACATCTAGGGTTTCATCAAAGTTGAGTCTCCCTATCTAAGTTCTAATGATCCAATCCCTTCTATAGGAGCATGTGCCTCCCCTTATATAATAGAGAGGCCATGGGAGTTACAAAGCGAATGGTACTCTACATAGGGATTCTCTCCTTGGGCTTTGGTCTTCTTATTCCTAGCACCACCAGTCTTCATTTGTCTTGTATCTAGTTGCCAATCGAACCACAACCACTCCTTGATGCCCCTATTATAGCCTGGTGCTGACCGCCAGGTGCTCTCTGTCGTAGTGGTGCCTTCCCTAGGTGAACGTTGTCCTATCTTCTTTTGCATGCCAAGCTTCTCCCTCTGCCCTGAGGGTCTACCAAACAGGCCGAGAGCCCCCACTTCATGGGCTTGAGGGACTTCCTTGTCTGAATGCATCACACCCCAAGCGTGACCCTACTAAGGGAGGTCCGATAGTGCCTCATAGCTAAGGAGAATGGGATGGTGGTGTAGTGCTTTTGTGCCTATTGGGCTTTGAGTGTGGGACATATTCTAGAGCTAGCTTCTGGCTTGGCCTAGGGCTGAGTTTTCACCCTTAGCTAGAGTTGGGACAACTTCGTGGGCTACAACTCGGCCAAGGGATCCCCTTGGGCTGAGAATCCATGTGTCTTGGCCGAGCCCTCGAGCCTCAAGCAAAGATGGCCAAATTGAGTGAGGGTTTCATCTTTCTTGGCTCACCCTTCTATATCGGGACTCTCGAGAGAGAGGGTTGTCTCCGACATTCTAGAGGGTTGTCCCCTAGCTGATTCAAAGAGTGAGCTAGGGTGTTAGTTGGACTGTTGTGCCATTAACCCAAGGACTTAACATACCATTACGTTAGACTCTCGTCACTAGTCCTAAAATGAACAACTAACCAACCAGCCTAAATTGCACTCCTAGTATTGAGTTCTGTCAAACAACCTTTTATTATGGAATAGGCTCTCTTTAATTAGTTAAAATGATCATTACATCACTATGAGTTGGTGGATAAGTGATCTCTTTTGTCCTTGGTCATTGATATCTCAATCCTTAATCTGAGCAATTGAAGCATGTCGGTCTACAAGTATACAATTATACCATCACCAAGATGTGGATACACATGACTAGATATCATTAATATTATGGTTTAATAAATAATTGTTTGACTAAATATAAAAGTTAGATGCACAATCAATTGAAACCGGGACTAAAAGATTTGCCACAAGGCCTATAAATATCTAGGCTTGTCCTTGACATCCACTCCATCAAAACATTGTGATTCATACAATAACATCTTGTGTAGTACTCAACCCTCACACCTCATGGATCCCAACTTCAACAGTGTGTGTGTGTTAGGTCCTAATATGGCTAGAGGGTGTGAATAGCCTATTTAAAAATCTACAAACCAACTAGAGCAATTTGATTAGTATGACAAATAGCGAAAAGCAAACTTGCTCGAGCTCTACAAGGGTTGCAAGCCACCTATCCAATAATTCTAGTTGTTATGATCACTAGGCACACAATCTACTATGTCACTACTCACTAAGAGCTCTCACAATTGCTACACTAAAGAGCTCCACTAGATGAACTTAATCTACAAAGCAAGCTCTCAATTCTAGCTACACTAAAGAGTTTCCTATAGCTAGTTTGTAGAAATGTAAATGAGTAAGTGAGGTGATTATACCGCCGCGTAGAGGAGTGAACCAATCACAAGATGAATACTTAATCAATCACTGGGAGAATACCAAAGGGCAAGAGACAACCAATTTTCTCCCGAGGTTTACGTGCTTGCCAACACGCTACGTCCCCGTTGTGTCGACCAACACTTGGTGGTTTGGTGGCTAAGAGGTGTTGCACGAACCTTATCCACACAATTGGACACCACAAGAACCTACCCACAAGTGAGGTAACTCAATGACACGAGCAATCCACTAGGGTTACCTTTTGGCGCTCCACCGGGGAAGATACAAGTCCCCTCACAATCACCGGAGATGGCCACGAACAATCACTAACTCGTGCCAATCCTCCTCCGCTGCTCCAAGCCATCTTGGTGGTGGCAACCACCAAGAGCAACAAGCGAATCTCGCAGCGAAACATAAACACCAAGTGCCTCTAGATGCAATCACTCAAGCAATGCATTTAGATTCTCTCCCAATCTCACAAAGATGATGAATCAATGATGGAGATGAGTGGGACGGCTTTGGCTAAGCTCACAAGGTTGTTATGTCAAAGCAAATGGCTAAGAGAGTGAGCTTGAGCCGGCAATGGGGCTTAAATAGAACCCCCCACGAAATAGAGCCGTTGGTTCCTCAGTCCACTGAAAATCGAGGCGATCGGGCGCGCGCAGTCAAATCGACTGGACGTAGGACCCCAGTGTCTAGTCGCCCGATGCTTGCCACGTGTCATCGGCTTCAAACGCTGATCGCCCGATCTCAACGATCATCGGTGCACTTAAGTTGTGACTGGACGCACTACTCGAAGTGACCAGACGCACAAACACCAGCGTCCGATCATTTCTAGTATGGTTCCATTCGCGACCGGACGCGTCAGTTAGATCACGACCGGACGCAGGACCCCAGCGTCCGGTTACTTCCAGTAAGCATCCACTCGTGACCGATCACGCCCGACCGGACTCACCCAGCGTCCGGTCACTCATTGTCTCCTCTATGCGCTGCCACATCAGCACGACCGGACACTAAACAGTGTTCAGACAGAGTCCGGTCGCCTGCATTCGGTCAAGAGACCGAGGACGGCCTTCACTACGCGCCATTGACTGGACGCAGACCCCAGCGTCCGGTCATTGCATGACCAGCATCCGGTGCACACTATAAAACACTGACTTTTCTGTACAGGGCGCCGGTGGCACCGTCGGATTGTCCGCCGGTGAAGTTTCGAACCCTTGCTCAAATGTGCCAACCACCAAGTGTATCACCTTGTGCACATGTGTTAGCATATTTTTACAAATGTTTTCAAGGGTGTTAGCACTCCACTAGATCCTAAATGCATATGCAATGAGTTAGAGCATCTAGTGACACTTTTATAACCGTATTTCGATACGAGTTTCACCCCTCTTAATAGTACGGCTATCAATCCTAAATGTGATCACACTCTCTAAGTGTCTCGATCACTAAACCGAAAAGCTCTTATCAATTTCACCTTTGCCTTGAGCTTTTGTTTTTCTCTTACTTCTTTTCCAAGTCCAAGCACTTGATCATCACCATGCCATCATCATCATCATGTCATGATCTTCATTTGCTTCATCACTTGGAGTAGTGCTACCTATCTCATAATCATTTTGATAAACTAGGTTAGCACTAAGGGTTTCATCAATTCACCAAAACCAAACTAGAGCTTTCAGTGTGGAGCGCCTCTGAGATCAATATGGTGAAGTCACTCATCACTAGTCACATCACCAACAACACCTACACAAATGACACAAATAAGAGGAACATTGACTTTGTGGATGATCTTCAAGCAATGTTCCCATGGAAGGAGAAGCATCAGGTAACTAATTTATATTTTGAGCTAGTAGTGGAGATGATGACGGCACAGAGCAACAACCAACATATTGTGGCAAGCAGTGCCCATATCAATGATTACTTTGGGATGCCAATGGAGGCTCCACCCATGGACAACATGGACATGGTGCAAGCTTATCCAATGGATGAGATCGAGGCCACGAGGCGTGTAGAGGGACAACAACACATGCCAAATGTTGTTCCTAAACAAAGGAGACATGCAGTGAGGTTTTGGACTATAGAGGAGCACAGGTATTTCATTTTTGCACTAATTTGGAAACTTTTGTCACATCTTGAGTGTTATTTTTGGTACAATTAATAAGCATGTGGTTTTTAGAATTTCATACCATGATATTTGATTTTCACTGATCTTTAGAGTATGGATAGGACATCTATTCTTATCTGATTATTAACCTTACTATAGGAATTTCCTCCGTGGACTAGAAGTGTTTGGCCATGGTAAATGGAAGAACATCTCCATGTACTTCATCCCCACAACGACACCGGTGCAGATCTCTAGCCATGCACAAAAGTATTTTCGTAGGCAGGAGTACACCACCAGAAAACAATGCTTTAGCATCAATGATGTCGGCCTCTATGGCACACAGCCATGGGTGCAGAACAACTCTTCTAGCTGGGAGGCACTCACCTTCGTTGGCGGTGCTTACAACACAAACTACAATGGCTTTGATGGAAAACATGTTGCCTTTAACAGCCTTGCATGTGCCAGCCAGGCAAGTGTCAACCAGGTAGCTACATGGATTATGGACCATCAGGCAACAATAAGTTCTTCTGTAGCTCCAGTGATGGAGGTGGATGGGAGCCAGATGACCAGTAATGGTCATCAACTGGGAGGCTTTCTTTACAACTAGTGGGTAGACAATTCCAAGGATGCTTGTAAAATCTAGTTGGATGAAGACAATTTATGGTGTTAAGTGTCATTAGTACCATTTGATATGGGTTACTAATAGTTTCATTGCCAGAACAATGCAATGAAATACTATCAATGTGTTATTTCTATGTTAATGTATCTGTTTATATGTGCTAGTTATATTTTGTCTATCTTATGTCCTTTGTTTGGTATATCATGAACATTACAACGATTGTAAATAATTATGTATTATTATTGTTGGTCATTTTCTTTTTTTATCACCCGTGTCAAAAATCTGCTTACGCTCCAGCTTTGCACATGGAACGAGTCTGTATACGCATTTGATTAAGCCACAAATTTAATGGCTAGGTAATGAAAACATCAAAACTTCAACACCAAATACTTCATAAGTTTATCTTCATAGTGCAAATGCTAATGGTACAATGCATGACTTCACTTCTATCCACGTCTCTAAAAGAGGAAGTAAGTGTTGCAACCACATTGCTTCTTTCAACATGCGTTGTTGTACCGATACTCATAGACGGATCCACCCATATGGCGAGGTTGGGGGGCCGCCCTACCTCCCCTCCAGCAGGACCGGACCCTGGCATCTGGAGATCGGAGTGCAGACTGCTGATTGTCGGAGTGCAGAACTGCAGGCTGCCGAGCTTCCGAGATTGAAGACGGAGCGGTGGCGAGGAAAGGGGAGACGGACGGTACTGGGCTTCTGTGGCATATTGGGCTGTCCTTACTCACTTGCGTGGGCCATTAGGCAGGGAATTAGGCCTTAGGAAGGCACTGGGGCAAGCCGCACATGGCGCAGTGCTCAGCACTCGCCAAGCCCAAAGGCGCACAGACACAATAGCATTAGATTTTTTTTTCCTTTTGTCCCAAGCGGAGAAGTGGAGATGCTGCTGTTAGTACTTAGTAGAGTACAATAACGTAATCAGGTTTCGTTGTCAAGTGATCTTGCAATTTTGGGGGCGGAGTAAACGGCCGGGTCACCACGCACTGACACACTCTGATTCTCTGAAACGTCATTTGTGGAAGTAGATTTCCTGTGCCCAAGCGTGGTGCACCAACAAAAACTAAGGCTAAAATACTTGTCTCGTTGCATCTACGTCTCAATGTTCCTAGTGTTTTAGGATTCACCTGTCCAGATGTCTCATATTGTACACAAGTTTTTATGATTAATATCATTCACTAATTGATTTATTTTTAGATTGATAGGTTTTGTACTATAATTTTTAATTGAAACATGTATTATTATTATTGATTTCTCTTTTAAACGATAACATTTTGATTCTTATTTGTTGTTCTACAACTTTGTTCCTCATACGCATGTTGTTGTTCTTTATCTAAAATTTTATGGTCAAAGTTTGACCTACCTCCACTTTTGAGCTGAGTTCGCCACTGCCGATACTTACCGCACCAATCTAGCTACGGTTTCTTCAAATGCATCTCAATGGAAAAGTACAAACGCAAATGCTGCAATGTGTGCATTTTACATACTTCATAATTCAATAGGAAAAAATCTACGTAACCCATGATCTTTGTCCCTGTGTCTACTTTACCCCATGAACTATGAAACCCTGTATTCAACACCCTAAACTTCTCAAACTAGGCATTTAATCCCTTCTAGTGGTTTTGGCTCCTAGTTTTACCGACGTGACGGTCCAAGTAGGCTCATGTGGACATGCTAGTGCTCGGCCCCACACGTTATAAAAAAAGGACGCACAAACATAGTCTCGCGGTGGCGACATATTATGGCAGCCTCGACAGCTTCTTCCATGGGGCGCTGAAAAAGTGAGTAGAAGGGCCGCCGACAAGGCCATGCCTTCCGCGGAGGTGCCCAGAGCGGAGCATGAGCCGACTTCCATGGAGGGAAGCAACGAGGCCGAGGGCCCGGCCCGAGGCTCGGCGGTGGCACGTGGGTAGCACAGGGTGTTGCTCACGGCCATCTGGGTCCCACGCAAGGCCAAGGAGAAGGAGCGTGCCATTCTGCTAGATCTGCTAGGCCACCTTGCGGCTGCGCGTGCAAGGCTCGCTCAGGCATGCCCAGGCGGAGGTGATGCATGAGGGCAAGTGGACGACCTCGGAGCTAGCCGTGTTACCTTTGGCAGCACCGCAGTGATAGCGGCAGACCGGGATGGGGCTACGGGCCGATGACGCTGGGCACAGATGGCCGGCCGCAGAAGCAGGGCGGTGCAAAGAGAGGAAGGGGAAGAAGCACACCGTCCATACATGTCATCAGGTCCTGGAGCCTGGCAAGCAGGAGTGCCAGACTGCCAGCACCGCTGCCGCGCAGAGGGGCACCGCGCATGCGCCACCCTGCTAGCCTTCCACAAGCCCAGGCGTTAGTCATGTTAGTTGATCTCCACGGCCTATTGGGCCCTTGTCTCTGCTCCCTGATCGGGGGAGCCCAACCCTAATATGGTTGGTGGGCCCCTGTCGCACAGCACATATAAAAGAGAGGTGGGGATCATGGCTCGTGCTACGAGGTTCAACGGAGCCACCGTACCCACCTACAGAGAAAACCTAAACTGATCTAAAGCAGTGCTGCCAGCGACGGGAAGCTCCACCGCACCGCCGCCACCTCTGCAGGGTCACCACTGGGCCACTGGACATCATCTCCACCACTACGCCAGAACTGTTACGACACCGACGTCCATGTCGCTGCGGTGAAGCTTCGAAGGGCAAAGGAGCCTTACTACGGATCTACGGTTACACAGAAAGGTACACCCACGATCCTAACATTGGTATCAGAGCCAGGTTGCCAGTGTGTAATCCTAACCCTAATCGGGTAAAAGAAACAAAAAAGGGACCGGGGGTGGCGGACGTCACTGGAACCTCGGTCACCACCGCCACCGTGTGGGGAAAAGTGCCGGTGCAGCAAGAAAATAAAAGAGTTCCTTACGGATCTAAACAGAGAAGGGGTTCACTAACCCTAAACTCGTAAAAGCCTTCAACGGGAAGAGAAACAGTAGAAAGAAGAAGAAGAGTGGGTTCGAATTTGGCCGAACCCTAAGACCTAACCCTAATTTTAACCCCATCCCAAATCGGGTTGATCCCAATAGAAGAAGGGGAAAGGGGAAGAAGGGGAAGGAATCAGTCTCGGGGAAGAACAGTGAACCCTAGCATCTCGATCTCGAATCAAAACAAATCGGGTTCAACCGAACCCAAACCCTAACTCGCATGGAGAAAGAAAAAAGGGGAAAGCCATTCGGATGAACTCCGAAAAGAAAAAGAAATCAAAAGAAAAAATGAAACCTACCCCAATCGGTTGAATCCGTAGAAAGAAGCAGATTCCAAAAGAAAAGAAAGAAGATTCAAAAGCAAATCAGAGAAGGGGAAGGTCGGATTCTGAACCCTAACCCTAGAACAAACCCTAATCCTCATCACCGGTTCGGATAAGAGAAAAGAAATCCAAATCGGAGAAGGGGAAAAGAGGAACGGACCTACCTCGCGCATGCGTCGGGATGGCCCTTCGCTGGTGCGAGAGAAGAAGAGCCGAGCCGGGGGCAGCTGCTCGCCGGGCTTGGCCAAGGGGGCGCCGTGGCCTGGCCACTCGACGGCGGCGTGCTCACTCGTTGGGGAGCACGCGCGCTGGCGAGGGGGCCGGTGACGGCGCCATGGTCGCTCCACCGCCGTAGTTGCTCGTTCGCCGCTCGGTGCTCGCTGCGCTGTGAGAGGAGAGAGCTGCGAAGATAGAGCGAAGAGAGAGAAACAAACGAAGCGAATGACCGCTAGGGTTTTCCAGGCGCCGCTGCGGTCGGCGTTTTGATCATACGACGCGCGCGGACGGCCAAGATTGATCGGGCCGTCGCCCGGCCCAAAGGGAGTCGTCGTCACACATTGACACTTGCCCAGCCCAGGCCCACGTTGCGGCACTGGTGCGGCGGAGAGTCACAGCAGAGAAGATGAATGGGCGAGCGGTTTTGACCGGTTTGGGCCGACACAGGAAGAGCAAGAGCTCGGTTTCGTATTTTATTTTTTCCTGGAAAATTGAAAATGCAAATTGGCTCAAAAGAAAAAAATAGAAAAGTAATTTTTCCCTGTGGGTAAAATTCAAGAAATGAGTAAGAGTTTTTCTGCTGCCAAAGAAATTGTTTATCCTCCAGTTAATTTGTACCAACGTGATATTTAATTGGAGAAAAAGAAAGTTTTTCCGCTGCTAAAGAAAATGTTTATTCTCCAGTTATTTGAACCAATGTGATAGTTAATTGGAGAAAAAGAGATTTGACATGATTATGATGTTGTTATTTTCGGACCAACGTTGTTAATAACAATATCATAATTTTAATGATTTATGCATTAATTCTATTTCTGTCCAACGGTGATGTAGAATTAGTGTGTAAGAACAGTTGTAAATTTTAATGATTTATGCATTAATTCTATTTCTGCCCAACGGTGATGTAGAATTAGTGTGTAAGAAAGTTGTGAAAGTTGTGAAAGTTAATATTTTATGCATTAATTCTATTTCTGTCCAACGGTGATGTAGAATTAGTGTATAAGAATAATTGTATGTTTTGATTTTGACCAACGTTGGAATCAAGGCATGCAAATGGTGTTATTTATATGTTAAGAAAAGGTTTGACCTAGTTTTCATCTTGGCTAAGATAGACTAGGTAGTCACCTCACCGTGTCCCACTGATTCTGTGGCACCGGTGAGGGAGACAAAAGAGAATGATGCCGACTAAGCAACTAAAGAAAGGGATTTTGAATCACAAAAGATGTCCTATGACTTTGAGCATAGAAAGTGGGTCACTGTCAACATGAAATGTTTGGCTGTGATAAAGAACACGATTGAGCCTGCAATTATGGGCTCAATCCCAGAGTGTGACACGGTCACCGAATACCTCGATAGAATAAAGAGTCAGTTCACTGGCTCTTCAAAGACATATGCTACCCAGCTGATAAAGCAGCTGGTGACAGAGAGTCACTCTGGAAATGGTGGCATAAGAGAGCTCACGATGCGTCGTCGAAATTATAGAACTGTCG